AATTTCAGCAACGCCTGTAATTGCTACCAGTTAAGAACGGCGTTGGGCATGGACTGCAAAATGAACAGCGCCGGCGGTTTATACGATGCCACCATTTAAGGTCTGGTGAAGCCCTGATCCAAAACGCCCTCTTTGGGAAGGGATTCGGGCTTGGTGGGGAAAAATACAGGTGTCCTGATGATAAAAAACACAATGACCATCCTTCGCAGATGGCGGCCTCCTCTCACGTTGACTTGCCTGGTAATAGTCCGACCCATATCGCGTATACATACAGCCTTGAACACATACATTTGGTTCACATTGATGCGTCTCCTAAGATGGTGATGTTGCCTGCAATTTGCTGTCTGGGGAGTGGCGCTGGTCATAGCGGGATTCAGGGCTGTTTTTGGGCCGTCGTTCCCGATGTGCGTTGTGCTACGTCTATGTAAGGTGGTCATCAATTCAACATAGTTAAAATTTAGGCGGAGCGCACAGTCAAAGAGGGCACTCGTTGCTGGTATGATGTTGGATTCCTTCAGTAGAGATCAATCGTGAGCTGGTTTGTTCTTCTTAAGTAAGGAACGCGTCATGCAATTTTGAGAAAATGTCGTTGGCACCAGCTGGTCAGCTGGGGAAACTGACTTACAGAGTATCTTAATGTTAAATCGAATGAAATTTTCATCGGCCTTATAGGCCAAAGAAAAGCTTCGCTTGTGACGCAGTTTGTAGGCTAAAACATATGGAGTAGTGGCAGTGTTTGCCTGACCACGCTTCAGCCCTGGTCCCCTTAGCAAGACTGGCTGCAACGCTGGCTGGAGCGTGCAAGGAAGCCTGCTCAACGTGTGAGGTCGAGAGGAAATGGAAACCAAAGAGAGAAAAAGTGAAAACCCAGTCCGTGGCAGTGTTATCTTGAATTTCGCTTGTTAAAGGCAATTACCACCCATAAGTAGAACTGGCGTTTATGGCCAGACATGTCTAAACAACTTGGAGTGTTAAGCCTCTTTTGAAGTAAATACATTTCTTGTATGCGAGGTGAAGAAGCTATGGCTCATCCATACGCCCCGCCGGCACGCTGGCGCTCAGCCGCCTCCCGACGTCGGCGCTGCCAGTGCTCCTCGTGATCACCCAGGGCGTACGCACGCCAACCGTTTCAAGTGTACACAACACAGTCTGTCAAACAGTGACCGCCTTACAGTGGGTCCCCGTCATGCTTCCTTCCTCTGTGACGCGGGACCCATCGTCAGCCTCCTATCTCGTCCCCTTTCGGCGGCTCTCGCTCCGTCGAGGTCGTGCGGCGGCGCGGTGCCTGATCAAGCGTCACTGGTATGTTGTACCGCAGTGCTGCCATGTGAGGCGGTACACTCGGTCTTGAGAGGCCAGGCGGCGGCTGGCCGGAACACGGTGCAGCCATGCATGGAAAAGCTTCTGCGACGAGGGCATGCAAACATCGGTGAAAGGGGATGGCTGCCACCAGTTGAGAATGATTAGTTATCAACCCTTTGACGCTCGTTGGTATAAATGAGTTGAAAGGGTTGACGAAGCGTTTCTCCGCGAACCATTTTCAGGTCTCCGCACTGATGGAGTGTCGGGGGGCATTGCACGCCTTGGCATTTCTAGTCAAGTACAACGGGGGTCTGAAATGACTCCAGTTCCACAGGGACGTTAATCCAGTTGCATTTAATCTCTTTTAGCGCCACTGAAAACATCATCTCTCTTTGGCGGAGGAAACTATCTCTTTCTCTCTCATTGTCTGGTATCCCCAATGCGTTCCGCTGCAGTTCGCGGGTCCATTGAGACCAGTGCCCCCCCCCCTCCGGCAGCCCCCCTCCACCCCACAGACAGCGGTCTGCTGCACCGCCGCTGTGCCGTCGCGCCCGTGGGCGTTGCCCTCCGCCGCCGCCGCCGCCCTCGCCGGCCCAGCCCGGCAATTATGTGCTTATTGGCCGGGCGCTGGCCGGCGCCACGTGTGGGCCACACCCCGGCGTCGGTGCGTCGCCGGCGGTCTGTATAATGCAGGCGCGGCGGCGGGCCGGGCCGACCTGGCGCCGCCACGGCCCCGGCCGCCGTCAGCGCAGGAGGTCCACGCGCCAGGACCCGCCACAGAGACTGCGCCGCGGCGAGGCGGCATCTGGGGTCGGCCGGCGCACCCACCGAGAGGTGGCCGAGAGAAATAGCGTGCCTCGAAAAGTTGTGGCATCATCTGTTCATGCCGATCGTGAGATCGAAATGTTCTTTCCGGGAATGCTACGACAGAATCGTCTTCACACGAGTTTGAGTCCGGCTGGGCCGGTTCGGACTTATAATATCGGCCTCGCGGGTCTCGACGCGAAGGAAACAACTCATTTTACAGATGGATTGGGTTTGGCCCCTGCCCACCAATATGAGAAAATTGCCTCGAACTCAGACTCAGGTTCAAAACACCAGCACCCCAGTATTCGGACTTCGACTCGATTCTAGAAATTACTGTTATTGACAAAACTTTGATTCCCTTTAACTTTCGACCATCAGCGACGGTGGGTGCGTCTGAATAGCAAGACATGCCGTGTAAGAAATAGTTCGGTATTGAGTATATGAGAAGCTGCTTCTGCTTGTATGGCGTTATGGCGTTATGGCGGCTGGTTCAAGAGGGCCCGGCACGACTGCATCAACTAGGTTGCCCACGATTGGTCAACACAATTTCGCAACGTAATCTAACTACGATTCACTCGCCGAGTCCCCACTCGGCAAGACAGCTTCACAGACAGCCTCACTGAACGAACTTAATGTCATCACTGGCAGATGCCGTTTGTTGCATTGACGCTTCTGCCCACAACTTTGTAGCATGTATCTTTCTTGATGCATTGTCTTCGGCCCGATGAGTCTCGGCGAGTTTTCAGGGAGCAGCGTGCATGTTTCCGGCGTCAGTCCCGCAGCCATTCCCCTGAGCGAGCGATGACCGAGAGAGGATCTCTGTCTCCCACAGTGTCGGCCCCGCTGTCCTGCCCGTCGTCCGCCGCCATGAGTGGCGGTCACATCTGCCGAGCCCGTGCACAGCAGGAATGCGGCCGCGCCGGATGTGCGGACCGTACGCGGCTGTAGCGGGCGGGCAGCGTCTGACCGCAGGCGCGCCCGCCGCGCCCTGTCCGGCTGACGGTGGGCGGGGTCCGCACCTGACACCGCCGAACGACGGGAGCAATCACACCATCCCCCACGGTCCGCTGGCTCACGACCGGACTCACGGGAGCGACCCCCCCCCCCCCCTCACCACCACCAGCGACTCGCGCCGGACTGATGAGAGCGATGACCCCCCCCCCCCCCCTCCATTGAGCCATGGCTGAACTACGGTGTGACCCCGAGGGAGATCCTCAGGCCCGGTCACGGCCCTTCGAGACGGGGACCGGGGGTGTGACCTAGGGAAGGTTCTAAGACCTCGTTACGGCCCTCCGAGGGGGGACCGGGGGTGTAACCTAAGAGAGGTCCTAAGACCCCGCCACGGCCCTCCGAGGGGGAAGGGGCCGGGGGTGTGACCTAGGGGAGATCCTCAGGCCTAGTCACGGCCCTTCGAGGCGGGGACCGGGGGTGTGACCTAGGGGATGTCCTAATACCTCTTCACGGCCCTCCAGGGCGGGGACCGAGAGAATGTAACCTCGGGTGGCCCCGGTCGGACGTAGCAAGGGCAGCACAGCTTTGTCAGGACGAACCAGCTTAGTGACGCCCCAGCTTTGAGTCATGCCGTCGGTGGAGGTCAGCAGATCCAGCTTAGAACAACGGACATTTGCATCGCAACACTCACTATTCAGGACCTGCCGGGTTTTCCCTTTTGCCACCGCAGCCGGGACAGGACGGGGCCATGACGCTGACAACAAAGCCAGCCCAGGCCGCGTGGGCGGCGCCGGCCCGTGTCGTCCAGCCCCGGCGGCGTCTCGGGCCGGCGGCCGGCCTAACGCCAGCCAATCACGTCCGGCCTCGCCGCGCCCGACCCATTGTGCCAGCGGCGCGGCGAAGGTCAGCCGGCGCGCGTCGTCGGCGTCCGCCGAGGCACCAAGGCCGCGGCGCGCTCCACCCAGCTCGGGGCGACAAACTGTGCGCCACATTGGCCTGTATTTGGGCAAGCGGGCACGCGCGCGCGCGCGACGCCGATGCCGACACCCCGAGGTCGCGAGGCGGCCGGCAGCCGCGCGCGACGGTGAGGAAGGGTCGCCGAAACAGGGCCTCACAAAGGACGGCGCAGCTCGAAAGGAAGACCACGGCCGCCACCGGACACGTGCTGCAATGGTGAAGCAGGTCGGCTTTAGTGTCGGTTTACTGTTTGCCGCCGCGCCTGTACCGACAGTCATGCACTTGCGGATGCAGGAAAAGCTGCCCGCCGCCCTTCGAATACTGCGCAGCCAGCGTTACGCACGGCATCACAGGCCGGTATTTGTACAAAGGCAGCTAAGCAGCAGTTCGACGGCCGCACTCGAATAAACAGGACATCACATGCATAACAAAAAACTCTTCGATACAACAACGCGATAAAAACGGATAAATAGCATTTAAGCAAAGCCCAACAGCACCCCGCGTAAGACTAAGGAGTATCAGTATCTGGTAAAGGCAAAGTAACACTCCATCGTCTCAAGCCGGATCTCGCCGGCCCGGGCGTCCGTCGCACAGGTGGAAAGTTTCTGATTAACCGCAAGCTCGACGGGATCCAAACCGGTTAGATCCGGTTCAGCGCCGCCCCGCCGCATGGATGGATGCTGGCGAGAACGACTTTGCGCACGTGTGCAACATACTGACGGAAGTGCGTAACGGAGCCAGCAGGTAATGGTGAAGCTCCCCGTCGAACAAGTGCAGCCCCGCCCACGACACCAGCCACCCGAAATTTGACCGGCGGCGTCGCTGCGGTCAGCACGCTACAGCCCTGTGGGCACGTTTCCACCACACCCCAATACACCCTATCAGCTCGCCATACACCCGATCAGCTTACCCGCCCGACGGGTCAGGTCGGGTCGGGTCGGGTCGGTCGGGTCGGGTCGGGTCGGGTCGGGTCGGGTCGGGTCGGGTCGGGTCGGGTCGGGTCGGGTCGGGTCCGGTCGGCCGCCGCAGCACCATCCCTAGCACCCGCTCCCGCTGTCTTCGCCCCAGCGTCCCGGGGTCTCTGACCCAGTCCGCCGCCACCGTGCCCGCCCATCGGCCGGTGCCCGAGGCCCGGCTACTTGGCGGTGACCTCGGCGAAGCAGGGCTCGCACACGCGCACCGGCTTCTTGCTGCTGGGCAGCGTGGCCGTGCGGGCACTGCACTCCTTGCAGAAGATCTGGCCGCACGAGCGGCAGTGATGCTTGCGCACGGTCAGCGTGAACTCCTTGTCGCAGCCGTGGCACGCCGTCACCAGCGAGTCGTCCGTCCACTTGCGGTCCTGCGCGCGCGCGTTCTCCATCTGCGGGCGGGGCGGGGCGGGTCAGACCGGGTCAAGTCAGACGGGCACGCGCGTTCTCCATCTCCGGGCGGGGCGGGGCGGGTCAGACGGGGTCAAGTCAGACGGGCGCGCGCGTTTCTCATCTGCGGGTGGGCGGGGCGGGTCAGATGGCGTCAGGTCAAACAGGCGCGCGCGTTTCCCATCTGCGGGTGGGCGCGACGGGTCAGACGGGGTCAGGTCAGACGGTTTGCGGGCCGGGGACGGCGCTCCAGTAAATATTTTCCGCAGACGACGTCACGGGTTGCTGCAATACGCACTCCGCCGCGGAGTCGTCGGTAGGTCGGTGTTGTCTGAAGTGTGAGAAATGATGTGAATAACGGAGTACGTGGCCGAGGACAAACGGCGCAGACCGGGAGGACGGTGGCCGCTTTATATAACCAGGACATCAATGCCACAAAGCAGCGACAGGTCATACTACGGCATCACACACCATAAGTCACGAGGACTCAGGATGAAATGGTCATGCTCGATAACACACCATGTGCATACAGCAGCACAGCAGCGGGGCGGAGGACAACCGGTTCGACAAGCCGCCGTCAGATTCTGTGCAAAGATTTACTGGCTGGACGTTTCCGAGCGAGCCACAGAGTGGGTTGAATTATCCGCCTACCAGCTCTGCACCGAACAACAGTATGCTAGAAACAAGCAGCGCTTCTGTCACGCCATTGTTCTGTGAAGCCGCCTCATCTGTTCTAGCCGGGGTCCGCCAGACGACCGCCGGTCGGCGGTGGCCGAGCCACGCGCTGGAGGTCAGTCCAGCGGCGGGCTCGCGATCGGGGTCTGTTGCCGAGGGACGTGCAGGACCGGGAGCGTGCCGGACCGGGGACGTGTCCGGACCGGGGACGTGCCGGACCGGGGACGTGCAGGACCGGGAGCGTGCCGGACCGGGGACGTGCCGGACCGGGGACGTGCAGAACCGGGAGCGTGCCGGACCGGGGACGTGCCGGACCGGGGACGTGCAGAACCGGGAGCGTGCCGGACCGGGGACGTGCCGGACCGGGAACGTGCAGGACCGGGAACGTGCAGGACCGGGGAGTGGCGGACCAGGGACGTGCAGGATTCGAGGGCGTGCAAACCCCGGGTACGTGCAGGACCGGGGACGTGCAGGACCGGGGACATGCCGGACCGGAGGCGTGCCGGACCGGGAACATGCCGGACCGGGGGTGTGCCAGATCGGACCGAGCCGGTCTGCTGACCGGTTCGACAGCGGCTCTGTGACCGGTGCACGGGCCGACGCGTCCCTGTCACGCCGCGCCCCGAGGAGCGTCCTTGGACACCACGCCCCGGGGAGTGTCCCGGGACACCGCGCACCAGAAACATCCCGGGATACCACGATCTGGTGCCAGTTGCGCGACGCAGCGCTGACACGATCGTCGCTGTTCGGCTCATGTGGCCGGCGGCAGACTGAGGGGGATGGCGGCGGGGGGGGGGGGGCGACCGCCGGCGGCGCGGGGGGTAACGGGGCCGGCGGGCGGCAGGGCGGGGCGCCGCCGATAATCCGAGACCGGCCGGCCGCAGACCGAGCCCCGCCCGCCGCATTGGTGCCAGGTGCGCGGCCGTCGCGCCGCCGCGCCGCCGCCGGTAGGGCTCGCAGACGGGGGGGGGGGGGGGGGGGGCTGGGCTGGGCGCATGTGTGACAGAGATAGGCATCTGGTATCGTAAATTCGGGGCGCTGAACAGCAGGCAAACAGCTAGGCGTAGGCATCATAACAGGAAACACAGACCACTGTCGACGAATCATTCCCTACAGCTGATATTGATATAACGAACAAAGACACCGCTCAGGTGGAAGTCCAGTGTCCAATATTGACAGGAGCGTATGCAGGAACCAATAACCTGACTTGTCAGCCTTGCAATGGAGGAGGGAGGGCACAACTCAAAAAGTTGCGTTGCAAGTACCGGTTACAGCACCACAGCCTTGTAAAATTTCATGCATGACATAAAAAGGCATTACACCTTCTCGATTTCTACTTATTTTGTTCCTCTACCTTCAGCTTTGTCACTTGTTAACATATTGCTGATAGTCCAATTTCCCCATTGCCTAAACAAAAACGAGTTCCAGTCAACTCAGACCACACAATACGTTAATTGAACATATCATTAACTAATTTATAATTGTCAGACCCCACGTCTGACAGTGTTGCACACTGCCACAGCTTGTTCACGAAACGGACCGTCTGCCGTAGCACCCACACCACCACTGCGGAGCCCAGTCCCGAGACCATCTGGTGGGTCACGGCGGCGCCTGCCGTAGCACCCACACCACCACTGCGGAGCCCAGTCCCGAGACCACCTGGTGGGTCACGGCGGCGCCTGCCGTAGCACCCACACCACCACTGCGGAGCCCAGTCCCGAGACCATCTGGTGGGTCACGGCGGCGTCTGCCGTAGCACCCACACCACCACTGTGGAGCCCAGTCCGGAGACCACCTGGTGGGTCACGGCGGCGCCTGCCGTAGCACCCACACCACCACTGCGGAGCCCAGTCCGGAGACCACCTGGTGGGTCACGGCGGCGCCTGCCGTAGCACCCACACCACCACTGCGGAGCCCAGTCCGGAGACCATCTGGTGGGTCACGGCGGCGCCTGCCGTAGCACCCACACCACCACTGTGGAGCCCAGTCCGGAGACCACCTGGTGGGTCACGGCGGCGCGTTGAACAATGCCGATCGCGCGGTACATATGCCACGAACCGGAGCCGCACTTCTGCTGGGTCGTGACAGAGAGGGCGCGAAGAGCGGCTTCAGAATACAGTGCCAGGTCGGTAACTAAACGTGCATTTGCCTGAGGTCTCTGAATTCAGTGACAGTAATCGGCTGGTCATTCACCCGCGGTTTCTGCATACAGTACCCGTAACCGGCTCGTCATTCGCCCGCGGTTTCTGAATACAGTGACAGGTAACCAGCTGGTCATTCGCCCGCGGGTTCTGAATGCAGTGACAGGTAACCAGCTGGTCATCCACCCGCGGGTTCTGAATACAGTGACAGGTAACCAGCTGGTCATCCATCAGCGGCCTCTGAATCCAGTGACAGGTAACCAGCTGGTCATCCATCAGCGGCCTCTGAATACAGTGACAGGTAACCAGCTGGTCATCCGCCTGCAGCTTCAAAATACAGTGACAGTAAGCAGCTGGCCATTCGTCTGTCACGTCACATGGCGCACATGTGTGACGAGCCATAACACCGGGCCGGCGGATCGGACGGCCGTCCCACATCAGACAGACGCGCCCGAACGATGGATTTGTGGGATATAACTAGTATTATCTCGAAAATATAAAAAAATAGACCAGCAAGCTACAAAGACATAAACCCATAGGTACAGACAGACAACAGGCCAACAACGAGCCACAAGAGCCTGTCGAGGTTGCCCTACACATTCCCGAAACTTATCTTGTCACCCGACCTTCATGAAATTAGATTTAAATGAGATCCTTCAACCGATAGAACTTGTTCAATTTCTGAATGTTGCTAGAGAGGGATTTCCTACAACTTCGTTTCACAGCCCATTCCAATGATCCACTACTCTTTGACTTAATGACATCTGTCTATTCATAGTTCCACTCCTATGTTTTCCTAAATAAAACCAGTTTCCTCTAAGTCTCAGCCTAATCTCCAGTGCTCCTTATAGATCTAGCTTGTATATTCCTTCCATAACCTTGAATACTTCTGTCAGATCCTCCCTAAGCCAACAATATTTCAGTGAATACAAATTCATGGCCATAACGCCATCCTCAAATTCTAAGTTGTCAATCCTATTCACGATCCTTGTTGCTTTTCGCTGTACTTTTTGCAGCCTACCTATATTTTTGGAAGCATGGGTCCAAGCCTGTACGCAATACTCTAGGTGTGCTCTGACATACGCAAGTACAACTTTTGACAACATTCCTACTGTTGTAATGGACATCCCCGTTAACAAGTCTCAGCATCTGAAGTTCCTTGCTCCCAGCAGCCCCACGTTTCAGTGGGGCTGCTTTTTTCAGTCTCTAAATCCCTGGAAAATCTGACCCATCAGTCCTATTCTTCCTCGATCTGGTCCACCTGCGGTCACGGACATTAATTCATGCTTTAAATGGTCACGGAAAACGCTTTTTTCATTCGCCATCTCTGCCTTCCTAGAATTGAGCACCACGTGAAGTAACAAATTTTACTTTAAAGCACTAACCAACTCGCCATCTACGTATGTGTTATGCCTGTCAGGTACACGCTGCTCGCGTGCAAGCGGGGGGACAGCACGCTCTCTCCCGCGCTCTCGTGTGACAACTGACATCACCCACACTCAACAGCGCAGACAACACACACGCAGCAGACTTTTTACATGGACACACCGCGCATGAGATGAAGTCATCCCTTTTTGTTTGCTCTAGGGCGTGGTGTGGCACATACGGGTCCCGTTAGGACGCGTCACAGGCGCACTGGCAGCGACGGGCCGCCGCCACACGCCTCCATGCCGCGTCAGACGATTGTCGCGCGGCGGCGAAGCGGCCGGCGGGTGCGGCTGCCAGCGGGCGCGGCTGTCGGTGCTGCAGCAGCGCGTGCGCCGTCTGGCGGCGCGGCAGGCCTCAGGCCGACATCACGAACGGCTGCCGCCGGGGCACGCCACAGCTGATCCGGCACTTGACCCATACGACCCCCGAGTCTGCAGCCCAGCGGCTCAGCGATTTACCATCGGCCTCTCGTCCAGCAAATCTGGTGAAGCATAACCCGACTGGATGATACTGTACGATCATCAAGCCCGCTTGGAGTTCGTGACATTCCCATCAGAGACGCAATACTCTGGCATCACAACACCGACAGCTGGATGCTCACCCTGACACCATGAACCACCGGAGTACACCGGCATGTGACATTAAAAAGTTTCAGATAATCACGTCGAAGCCGGAACCCGGCAACAGCGGAAGTATGTGTTGCAGCGCGCCGGCTGAGGGCTTGCATCATCAGGTACAAGTATGGGTGCGGCAGAGCC